TGACAGCAGGGTTTGACTTTCTTTACTACCCATATCCTAAAGACAAAGAAGGTTTACTTCACAAAGCCCAATGAAGAGAGCTGGCAACAGCTAATTAATGGCTTGGATTAAGACCAAGAACCGTCCTTGTGGATGCTGAAAACAATTTATTTTGTCACAGATAATCTAGGAAACCCACACAGTGTACCTTAGTGAAACAGAATGAAACATTAAATTTGCATTCAAGAAATGTGATAATATGGAGCTCTCTTTAAAGAATTGACTTGAAAACCAGTAATAAGTTTTCTTTTGAAAGGAGCATGATTTCAAAAAGGCCATTTCTTTGCATCATTTCATATTCCTACAAAGCCTTCATTATAATAATGGGAAGTGGCATATTCTTCTTAATGTTTGACAATGGCAGACAAGTGAAACATGCTTTAACTGCTATTTCAAGAGCTCTGGTATCTGAGATGAAATATGCATCTCTGCTAAGCTGTCTGATCCTATCCATGTATACCCATAAATTCTACTTTCTGCAACTTCAGTCCTTTGTGATATGAAATAAAATACTTCTACTGTATTTTCAGTTCAAACTAGAAATAATGTATTTTGTATGTATAATGTATTTTTGATTTTCTGCAAAATTAAGGTTGCAGAGACACATGGACCAGACTGAGAAAAAACATTGCAATAACTTCAAATCTGATTTGGTCCTCTGTGTTTGTGTTTTGCTCAGGAGAAGAATTCATCCTGGGACCACTGAAGGTAATCTCTATGCCCATGTGACATAATTGTAAGCTCTTCCCTCCCCAAAAGTACTATAAAAAGAACCACACATAGGCTTAGTGTGTCACCGGCCATTCTGTCAGCAAGTCAATTTCTTTTGGTTTCTAATTTATATAAAACAATATGAAGTCATTAATAGTTTAAAGACTTAGACTTGATGCAAGACATTTGTGATGAAACTGCTAATTTTATAGACTAGGATAGGAGACTAATTTATTTCTTCCAGTGATCCTTTTATGAACTGATCTGCAGTTCAATACTACATCTATTTCCTTCCATTTCTCTCTAAGTTTCTGACAAAAGTCTAGGTTAACCTGAATTAGGTAAAATCATTTTTATACTACACTGAATGGTCCCCTGAGTTGCTTCCAATGACATGATTTATATTAAGTAAAACAAAATAAACAGAACCAGAAAAACTAAAATATAATTCAAACCATTAAACAGAAGGCCAGAAAGCCCAAACACTTGGAAGCAATTATTTATTATTTATACAGATTAAGAATTTCTGTACCACAAGTCTTCAGACAGTTTACAACCAAAAAAATAATAAAAACAGTTTTACCTAAGTCTTTCAACCACACTACAAATCCCAATCAAACTTCAATAAAATAAAATATAATAAAAATCATATTATTATAATAAAAGGTAAGCCCATTGCAGTGGTGGGTTCTGGATCCCGTTCCAACCAGTACGGTTGGAACGGGACAGGTGCTGTCCACATGGCTGTGCGCAGCATGTGTGCACACATGTGCAGTGCGCGCATGCATCTTAGCACCTCTGCAAGCCTCCGCAACACTCCAGTTGTATGCGCCGTGAGCATTCACGGAAGCACCAAAGGCTTAAAATACCGGCAAGGCGGGTGAGTGGGCCCTCCAGAGCACTGTACTGCAATGGTATCCAGTGCTCTGGGCAGGCTCCGGTACACCTGTACTGGGGCATACCGCCTGCAACCCACCACTGGCCCATTGATAATTCAGATTCTACATGACACAAAATACTTTTGGTGTCTCCTAGTAATGTGTTTCCATGGAAAGGCAGCTCCATAACAGGGCAGTTAGTGAAAATACTTTTCTTTGCTCTCTTAGGTTGAACGTTGAAGACAAGAATATTCTGCTTGAAGGAAGATACTTAAGGGCTGTCCTAGGGAGGGCTTTATACGATAAAATGTATCCATTTCAGTTTATCAAAATAGCTGTCCACCATGCCTTCTTCATATGCTGCCTGGGTAATATTGTAAAGCAATGAGGACAAAATTTAAACTGAAGCAGCAATATGGATGCAATAATTGAGCAAGGCCTGTTTCATTTCTAAGCCAGTTGTCTTCTAATGATTCTGTCAAATGGAGTTAAGCTTCAAGACAAATGAAATAGGAATTATAATTGTCCAAGAATTATAATGGTACTTATCCTTGTGTGTGTATGTGTGTCTTTGAGTCAATTTGACTCCTAATGACTGCTTAGACGTGTGCCTTAAGTTTTCTTGGCAAAATTTCAGAAGTGGTTTGCTTCCTGGGGCTGAGAGAGAATGATTGGCTCTAGCTGTCACCCAGGTGGCTGTGTGCCTAAGGCAAGACTGGAACTCACAGTTTCCCATTTTCCAACCTGGTGCCTTACCCACTACTCCCCTGATGGCAAATCTATGGCATGTGTGCCCAAAGTGAAACACGAGGCCATTTTGCCCAGCACACACGGCCTTGCATGTTTGTCTTCTGGGATTCTGGCATGCAGAAATGATCAGCTGTCCTTTGTGTGCATGGCAGTGATGAAAACTGGTGTGCATGGGCACCGGCCAGCTGATTGTCAGGTGTGCATGTGCGCCAGAACTTGGAAGTTTGGATTTTCCAGAGTGCGATCCCTTCGAGCATGCGGCAGTGCCAAAAACCGGCTTGCGTATGCACACCAGCCAGCTGATCATCAGGCACGCATGCACACTAAAATCAGGAAGTCTGGCTTTTCCAGAGCGCTGCCCCGACGAGCACATGTACACGCGCACGATGTTTCCGTGCAACCTTTCCAGCATTTGGTGCCGAAAAGGTTCAGCATCCCTGCACTACACCAGCCTGGTTCTCACTACTTCTTATTTTGTCTACAGCAAAGAAGTAATCAGTTCAAACTGACAAATCAATATATTCTGACCCAGGAACTCAAAAGAAGATACTTGACACTTGCGTTATAGATGACTGAAATAATTGAACACCCCCAAAATGGTAATACAAACTATGTTGCAATAATTTAATCTTCAGTCTCCAGTGACTTTGGGTAAGGGAAGACAAATTCCCTTGTCACTTGGAAGACAAATTCATGCTAAAATATGCTCACTTGCAAAGATACACAGAAAAATGCCAAGTTCAATTCTCTAGTGTCCCAAATTACATTGCAGAAAAGCAGCTTCTTCTTGCATATTAATAGAAGTGATAGGAAAAGTGTGAGATGACCATCTGTAAAGAATTCTTTAGGTCCTGCATTAACGTGAAGATTCCTTGTTCTAAGTAATTGTAGGATTTTACCATTCTGAATAAACAAAATATATGCTTGCCTCAAAGGCACAAGAGTAAATATAATTGAGCCCAATGAAGAAAAGTAAAAAGGAGATGCCTATTTTACTGGTTATACATAAAAATATTCATGATAAAAATACATATATATCTAGTTCTTTTCTTTTATTACCGATAGTATTAACACTACGTTGGAAGATGTAATTTTACCGCCTTCTATATTTAATATTTATCCCTAATAATTTCAATTGGAATAGGATTTCAATGGTTTTAATAGTTTTTTGTTCCAAAGAAATGAAAATAGGGAAAACTCTAATTGATATTAAACATTCAGCTGAAGATCTGAAGCAAAAGTATTTTTCTAAAAAATCTGCAGAAGGAAATATTGAAAAAGTATGCTACTGTCTGATTATTCTCAAACTGCTATTTTGGATAAATGTCTGCTGAATGAGCTTTTAAAGAGTACAATTATGTATATAAAATTATCTAATTTGTGAACTTCTGAAGGTATTAATTGGGAGAGCAGACAGTAGAATTTTACCAGGGTAAATCTAGTCCACTCTATCTCCTTGCTAGACTATTTTATTAAGGAAAGATAATGACCAGACATACATAGTGAACTAACATCTACAGCAGTGTTTTTCAACCACTGTGCCGCGGCACACTAGTGTGCCGTGACATAGTGTAAGGTGTGCCGTAGGAAAATTACTTTATATATAGTCAATATAGGCACAGAGTTAAATTTTTTTAACA